CTTTGCAATCTTCCTATTCCATGATCATAATTTTTAAGGCATAGAATATGCAGACACTAATCCAAGAGTAACAGTACAGTGGCAATTATGATACTGCATCGTAACCTACTCCTAGCTTTCAGTTTCACACTTACTTGAACTTGGCCTGTTTTCTTCATAATACAGATTTATTCCTAGCAAGAAGTAATTTAGCTCCATTTTCATAGAACTCCATAAAGAAGTCTAAGGAAGCTTCAAAAGAAAAGAACAGTGCAAAGTGGAAAAATTGAATCAGGTGCCTGTGATTTATGCAAAGCAGATTTCCAAGATTATTGAATTTCACTTCTAAGGTCAGTGTAGCATTCTGTAATTGAAAATAAACAGGCACTCACTGTAGTCAGTGATTCACTGAAAAGTAAGAGATAACAAAAGTGTAACCAGATATTTTCTTGAAAGTAAAATAATCTGAACTACAGTTTATGGGAAAATAAAGTATATTATGTTTTACAATCATGGCAGAAAATGTATTTGTATTATAAAAGTAAGTAACTATCCTTAATAAAATTTATGTTAAATAAAAAGACATTTTTACAGCTAGTATAAATGGGCTTATTTCCCATTGCTCTGTGCTTTGTTGAGTTTTGGTTTGTACAATTTTGGTTTGTACAAGGTGTGAATAAATTTGTACTACATAAAAATGGTGGCAATTGATATTTATTAACAAAAGTCTAACAACATAAGGAAGGCAGAGAGAACACATACCAGAAATTATGTTCCAAATGCAGTAAACTATAAATGAAGATGAAATCCTCAAAATGTTTTTTAGATTGGACACACTAGTAAAATCCTACCGACTATACTATTCAGCTTACTTTTTTTTTCCTCTTATATAACCATAAACAAACAAACTTGCTTCAGGAAAATACACTTGAAGTAGTTCTCTGCTCATTTAATGCATTTTCTAGATGTGTGCATGTAGTTGTGTAGTTAACTATTATTGTACAAGGAGATGGAGGTAGGGATATGTCTCGTTTCCTTGCTTTACTTTGACTTTGCTTTAATGGGACATTTGCGTAATGCAGGAAATCAGAGCTTGCTGAAACCAAGTGGCAAAATTACATCTATGGTTTTATGACTGCACCCAGTGTATTTCTTTTTTTCATAGAATTCCTTTTATCTCAGTCTGCCTTTCTGTTTCTTTCTGTAGTCCTTTTTACTGAATCCTTCTCTCTTCTCTCTCTTTTTTTTTTTTTTTCTCTGAGCCTCTTTTGAGTAAAACATGAACCATATCATATTTCAATTTGAATAGAAGTTTTGCAGTGTGTGAAAAGGAGTAGGTCTGCGGTTAGACTGAGCCAGGACAAATCTCTACTCACTGCACTCACAGTCAGAAAGTCCTCTGGGTTGGAATGAGCAGCCTCAGTCTTCATCCAGGTCACCCCAGGCACATATGCCAGTTTGACCGAAAGAAGGGGAGAAGTGCATTGATTTACACTTAAAATTTCATGTTGAAAAAATGCACTTTGGTTTCCAGGCATTTTGAGTTTCTATGCATGTTTAAAAATAAAATTATATTTTAGTGCTTATGTTTTTTTTTACTGGAATTGAATTTTGTTTTGCAGTTGAACACAAAAATATATTATTTTTGTACATAAATGTAGTTATCTTGGTGTTGTTAACACTGATGTAGCTCAAGTATGCTATGTATGAACATAACTTTATTCACTGTGTTTTTTCAGAAGGATAAGCTATTACTATTAAGACCTAGCACAGAACATTAGCATATTCTGGAGGCAAAGTGTAACACAGCCAACATTAATTATACTACATGAGATGTTGTAATAAAGTACCTTCTAAAATACAGCGTGAATCTAAAGAGCACCAAGAGCAGCAGGCTTTCTTCATAAATCTCATTTTAAGATAATAAAACATCACTAATCTTTCAAGGCTTCTTCCAAATAATACATTTTAAATTTAAGCTGGACCATTGAAACAAGCGAGCCACAATCCATATTTTATTTTGTCAGTGAATTCCATAAGGGCACTGTATAATGAATTTACAATGTACAGATGTGGGACTAAGAAGGACCTCCTGAATATCTAAACTCTGTCCTTAAAATAATGAAGGAAAACTAGTTAGCAGCCATCTGTAAACACAGACACACAGTTTTGCTGCTGGTGAACAGGTAGTGAATTCCTAATAACGTGCTAAATGCATAAGCTCTTCTAACCTCTGCCTGCTATGCTACAGCATCTCTTCACAGTGGGATAATGCAAAAGAATGTTCTTATCTAGATAGCAGAAAAAAGAATATTTTTAAAACGCCACTGGACGCCAGTAAGGCCCACATATATTAAAGATATATATTACCATCTTGGACATGACCTTGCCCCCTTTAAATATTTCATATAACCAGTAATAGAATTTTTTTCTAAAACATTTGCCAAGAATGCTTTAAATGAAACTATCATCGGGACTCATATACACATTTAAAAAGCTTTGGGCTGCCATCCAAGAATTACATATGCCTGAAACAAATGCTTAAAAATTGTATTCCTGTATATGTGAACCACACAGAAAGAGTATGAGCCTGCACTGGTTTCCATTAGCCCTGGATTTCTTGCTACACAAGATGTTTGGCCTACCCACATCCCATGAACGTAGAGAAGGACTAACTTAATACATACTGTGTCTGGTTTGCACAAGACTTGAGGTCCTGTGTCCCCTTACAATATTAGATGTGGAAGCATAGACTTCCATTGGTACTTTTTAACAGTCTGGCCGGGGTTTGGGTGTGTGAGGAATCACTTCCTGTGAGATGTTTCATGTGAGCTATGGCTCTGGAGTATAGCTGTTAGGGGGTAGTATTATCCATCAGGATAAAGATAAGTAGAATTCCATCAAGATCTCAAACGACCTCCTGATTGCTTGAAACTCATGTGGAACCAACAGTGGCCTGAAAGGAAAATATTTTACAGGCAGTTCTCTTCACTATCGATTGTTTACTCGGATATTCTGATCAATTTTGGTCTTCTAGCTTCCAACATAGTAAGGAATTTTTTTCCTTATCTGTTATCCTTACCAGTCAAGCTGGCATCAAGTTAACTGTTGGTCAGCGGTGTCTGGGAGCTGCCATCTAACACTTCTGATTAGGTAGTAGTACAGAGAGAGTCTGAAATCTTAGCGCCTGTGCTGTCATGAAGACCAGAGAGCATGACTAATGTATCTTCACAGAGTATTTCTCACCCCAAATTTCCCCTTGACTTAATTTGATGTTGCTGGGATGACTGTCTCTGATTCATGTCACCCAGTGCATGGTGAAAGTGAAAATGATTCCTACCTTTGGCCCACAAAGGCTTTTCTTTTCTAGAAGCTTCTTCTTAAAACATTACTTACTTAATATATCGCATGAAAAATGAATCATAATATGATACTACTTTGTCTTTCTACATAACCTTCTGTCCAGCTTTGTACTTAGAAATTTAGCCTTAGTACAAATATCTCTAGGGTAAATAACTCGAATCCTGAGTCACTAAACTTTGCCAGATTGTCAGAATTTTCCATTACAATTTTTTTTGGAGCCTATTCAGTGACTTCAGACATGGAAGCTGACAGTATAGAAATTACTGTGGACAAACTTGTATGAAAAAGATAAATTAATTGGGTATCTCTACATGAAAATTATACTTTGGACCATAATGGGAAAAAATTAAGACACGGAAGGATGCCAGTATTGAAAAAACAGAGGTAAAGCATCTGTAATTCAACACCAAATATCAGAACTGCATTTATTAGTGGTAACATAATAACAGTTAAAATTAAACTCTTTCAGAGATGTTTCAGAAAACCACAGGATATGTTTCAAGCATTACATTTAGAGTGTACAAACCTGTACAAATAAGACAATTTAAAGGTGACAGTGGGCCAAAGCCACTTGCATCCAAAGGTCATCACAGCTTCATTACAATGGGATTAACTAAAGCCTGCTGAAGAAGTAGAGGTTAGGGACAAGGTGAGGGGAACCACTCCACAGTGGACAGTAGAACATGTCACTGCTCTGATAATTCTGTGAATTGCCACCATATGTTGCATGTGTATGTATCATCTAATGTATTACTGTCTGTAAAGGTTTGGTACCTGACCATATTGAGTGGGAGAAAAGCCCCTGTCGCTGCTGGTGACTGAAGTGCTGCTCCAACTCTAATTTCCAGTGCCTCACTCTAAGCATTTGCAGCTACATCATCACACTGCTGAGGTTAACTATATTAGCAAGCTAAAGGAGCAGTCGGACTTTTTGTGTCGTTTCTGCATTTATCCTACAGTTTTCTCATTTCAGCAGAAGGACTGATGGTCTCAGTCTTGGGAGAATATCACATGGGAACACACACCTGCTGATCCCAATGTAAGAGCAGTGTACAAGGAGACACAAATAGGTCAGGAGTCTTTCTTGGGGAACATCTGGTTCAGTTCAGACTTTTCAGGCCTGCACAGATGATCAGGAAAAGGCTGTTTATGTGAATGATCATCAGGAGACAGAGGATAAATACTGATGGAGAGGCTGGGAACAAAACTGAGGTACTGGAAGAGAATGGGTTTGCTGAGCTTTCAGGCTCTTGTATAGGATTTGGTAAACTGAAAAGTTCTTGCAGTAGAACCACTTCTAGTGCCTCATTTAAATATAAGGTTGAAATTTCTGCAAGTTGCTTGTGTAGACTTGAATCTGCCTATTTAAAGCTACAAGAACTTCAGAAAAATCCCATCTGTGACTGCTCCTGGCATTTTATTTTAGGAAATTTGCTTCCACATTAACAATCACCAACACAGAGCAGAAGTCTGCACCTTTTATTTTTTAGACTCTTAAGATCCTGGTGTGAAGTATAGCATCAAGTAGGAAAGAGGAAAACATGCATTTGGTATATTTCCAAGCAGTTCCACTGTCACAGACCTATTTCCCCACTTCCAGGAGGCAAAGGATTTGTTCCAATAAATCATTACTCACTCTGGCTTTTTTCTTCTCTTAGGAAAAATATTTATTCCTAAAGAAAAACCCATAGAAACCCATACAGAAGAGAAAGTGACCCTGGATCCAGAACTAGAAGAAGCCCTGGCCAGCGCTTCAGATACTGAGCTCTATGACCTTGCAGGTTAGATAATATATAGGTATGATCCCCCTATATGTCCAGTCCTTCTCTGCCTAGACCTGCCACCAGGAATGTCTCATGATCATCTCTCAAGTACCTGCTGTTTCACTATACAGACAGGTGGCCAGCTTGTGGGCCACACATTGCCCATGGGGACTGCAAGCATGACTCCATAGCTGCTGCATTTTAGACTTCTTTCATCTACTTATTGTTGATGTGGCAGGCAAGGGGAAAAGATGAACCAGATACCATGATTTGGGGAAGGGGAGGGTAGATGGTAGACTGCAGGCTGGGGTGTTTGCATTGTAGTGGAGGCAACTGATCTTATTGCATTATAATGTAGCTGGCATTTTCATAGAACAAAGTTCCAAGTTTTGCTCAGCTCTGGTCAGTGTCCAGCCATTCGTGACAGAATTTGTAGGTGTTGAAGTCTAACGAAAACCAGTAAGTAGCACACCTACTGCTGGGAGTTCTGAAAATAGTCTGTAACAGCAACTAAAGAGTCATTTGCTTACAGAAGAAAAAGTACTTTCATAAGAAAAACCTGATGATAGAAGTAAAAATGTACATTAAGTTAATAACTTATTTCATGCATGATCCTACAGAATGAAGTCCAAGTAGGTAATTTATGGGAGAAGTATCAGCAAACACAGCACAATTTATTCTCTGACACTATGGAATTTCATTTGCACAAAAGATAACTTGGCAGCTTCTTTTACAGAGTTTCGGTTTCTTTTGTCATTTCTCTCATAATAGTTTATATCCTCACTATTTATTTTAAAGTCTTGGAATGTATTGTTTTTTCTTCTCAAGCACATTAGCATCCATGTGCTTCTATAAGAAGCCCCAGTGTGAGTGCCAATTTATTAAGCTAACCACACATACAGTCAGACTCTTCTCGGATATGCCAAACAATACAACAAGGAGCAGTAAGAGGTTCAGGTCATATATTGCAGGGGGAAATCATTAGGAGCGTTGCACTGAAACAAGTTACCCAAAGAGATTGTGGAATTTCCATCCCTGGATGTTTTCAGGATCGTGCTAGACAAAGCCATGGCTGACCTGGTTAATGTCGGCAACACTTCTGCTTGAGGGGAAGGCTGTACAAGATGACCTGCAGCAGTTCCTTCCAGCTGGCATTTCTGTGATACGCGTGCTACATTGATTCAGTTGTTCAAACACTTATATTAAAAGTGTCTCTATCTCCAGTATTTAGACCCCCTAAAGACTCTCCGTACAAGCAAGCATAACTCAGAGTTAACATTTTGTAAAGGGGGTTTTGTTTGGGGAACTAAACTAGAATCTGTAGCAGATATTTTTCTGCAGTCTTTGTTCCTGCCACTAACATTGTATCCTGTTGCTGGTATTTACACACTGTAGCTGTTCTTGGAGTGCACAACATGGTCAACAACCCAAAATTTGATGAAGGAGGAGCCCGCAGTAAGGATGGAAAAGGAACCGTGAGAAGTAAGCAAGCAGATTTCTCTTTTGGGTTATACGTTATCTTTAAGGACTTGTAGACCTGTAGTTTGGGTGTATTGGTCTAAATTAGTGTAATGTAGCTAGGCCTTACCTTGATTGAGCTAATTAATCCTGAGGGGGAGCTCTTTAAAGTAAATACAACCTTAAAATTCATTGTCTATGATGACAACAGTACTATGCAAATAAATCATTCCTAAGGAGCTTTGTTTTCCTGGAGAGCAATACCTGGCTCTGCAGAGGTGCTTGAAAGGATGTGAATATTTAAGAAGCCAAGACATACATATTTTCATTCCATTTCAGTTTAGACAGTGGACAGAAAACAGTGAGCTGTAGCTAAGAGGTGGCCACACCACAGCCCAGGCCATCTCACTCCAAGTACCTACATTTACAGAACTGAAGAACAACTTGTAACCATGGGGCTCAAACACAGCAGAATCCCTGGCAGAGTCTCATCTGTGGCCAGAGTCACATCAAGCCACGTTCACAGGGAGGCGGAGGCTACACGGATGCACTCCTGCCCCAGCTACGCTCTCTGATATACTACTTCCACCTTAGTCCCGCGGCAGTGTGTTTAAGCATCATCTGTTATATGGTTCCTTAGGTACATGGGAAGCATAATCATTCAGGAAATCCCCCAGCAGAAACAGCTGTAGTTACTAAAAACAAATCCAGAAATGTTTGCACTAAATAAACAGATTTTGGTGAATCGGGTCTTAGCTTAGCAATCGACAGGAGGCTGGACAGGGGGAGAAATGGGTATGTCTGAATTCCAAGTTTTTCTTGAGAGCTGCCAAGCCTCCCTCCAGAGCTCATCACCTCCAAGCTCTGAGATATCAAGTGGGCTAAACTTTGGTTTTTAAGACAAAGTTGTAGAATGCTCTTTTCTAGGGAAGCAGTACTCAACAAATGTTTTTTCTTGTAAAGCCATAAGAACAGCAGCTATCTTTACCAAGGACTTTCATTTCCATACTTCTTTGCCAAAGGGGAGGTGGGAAAATAGACAGGACACCGCGTCACTTCATTTTTCTCAGGATTAAAACTGCTCTGCAAGCCTTTCCAGTGGGGCCCTGTGCAAGCTGCCACCTATCTCCTAACAGGACACTGCATGCATTACTAATCCACATAGATTTCAGATTATTTTTGTTGTACCGAGTCAAAACATGAGCTATATGAGAGTCAGCTAAACTATGCTCCAATTACAGACTTAAGACCCAGAAAATCACCGTCACATTACTTTATTCTTTGGTCCAAAAGCAACACCTTTCCTTAGCTGTGTGAAATGCTTCAGTAAAAGCGGGAGACCTCTCAGAAGTTGCCCATCAATGTGGCAAAACAGCACTATTATTAAAAAAAAAAAAAAGATAAAACTCCCAGGAAGCAGAAAGTGAAAAATACTGCTAATTCTAGACTGAGTATACTGTGATATCTAACCCGAGCACAGGGTGTAAGTCTCTCCCTAGCTCCCAGTTTGGCAGAGGGTTGCCACAAGCGCAAAAAATGCTTTGCTGTTTTTTGTTTACTTTCCATCATTGAATCCAAAATAGGGTGAATTCTCTGTATGCGTTTTCCAGTAGTTTTAGTTTTCCTACTCCCTAGGAAGGCTGGAGCATTATTCAGGCATATGTGAAGTCTCTCAGGGAATTACTACAGAAAAAGCTCAGGGTCAAAGGGAGCAGAGTGAAAAGCAGCTCAAGGTTTGTGTGTGACTTCATCTCTACTACGAGTTCTAAAAAATATTTTTCTTTGGCCTACGAGATGGCATGAACTTTACCCATTGCGCTGAACAGAAACACATAGTACATTGAGACTCGAGCACAAGTCTTCAAATAACTGTCTGCAACATAAAATAAGAGGGTTTAAACATACTTGTGGCCAGTAATGTATTCCTTTCCTGCCTCTGGTGGCTTGGGTGGTCAGAGGTTATAAATTAGTCTCCACAACTATTTGCATGGGAATTAGAAGTACTAATTGTGTTCTAAGCTATGATTTTTATGTATCTCTGAATATTTATAGCTCATAGCTGGAAACATTAAAAACTGTATCTTTTCAGAGCATGAACACTCAAAGACTTTGTAAATCTTGGTTCTGGCAGATGGACTTGCTTTTCATGGTTTGATAGCTTTATTATTTAGAAAGTGCAGATGTTGCAATTTTACAAGAGCTAATTGAATTTATAGTAAGGCGGATAGCATCAGCCTGGGAAAGGAAACTGAGAAGCCTCCTGATCACGTTCCTCTATGTTAGCACAGTCTATACGTAGGTGCAGTGACATTTTCTCACCAATGTAATGGGCAAGTTCTGAGCACATCTTCCTTTACAGATGTTAGACAAAAAACAAAGCAGACCTTACGGTATATTACATCCTATACAATAGTCTCTAAAGCTGCTTTGGCTCAAATTAATTGTACTGAGACTTCTGTACAGAAAGGAGGAACTTGCACTTGAGGATACAGTCCAGCCGCTGTGACCACAGCGTCCAGTGACATGCTCCTGGGTGCATGGAAGGTGCAAAGGGCATGGCAAGGATAACGGCTAATTCTCCTGTTTGAGTTTTGTGGTTCATATAAACCCTTTCTTAAATGCTACAGTACAAACCTAAACAGGAATCAAAAAGCCATACTGTTACTGATGATGCCCGTTCCTTGCATCAACATTTCATGAGATCTTGTATTGCAGATGTGGTGAAAGGTGAGAAGGTCAAGCCCATCTTTGAGGAGCCACCTAATCCGACCAACGTGGAAGCAAGTTTACAAAGGATAAAAGCAAATGATCCTAGTCTCATAGAAATTAATCTCAACAACATAAAGGTAGATGCTGTGGTTTCAGTTACGCTATCATAGAAGAGCTTATTTGAGTATTTCCAAAGCCTTTGCCTTTTATCTTCAAATTTTGTTTCTCTCTACTGTTCAGGAAAAGCGGGACACACAGGGGAGGGGTATGGAGGGAACTGTTGTAGAGGCTCCAAGCTTGTCAATGCCTGATACTGAATTAGATGCCAATTAAAAGCCCAAGAGGTGACTCCCTCTGGCTGCCTTTCTTTAGCAGATTGTAAAGCGAGATATCTCACAAGCACTACATAATCATCACTGGCCAAAGGCAATTAGCCCACACATGCAAATGGAGGAGCTGGCATGCGGAGACTGAACAACTGGCAGCAAAATAGGAAAGTAGCTCAGAGACCAGTCACGTGCTTGCGTTGGCCTGACCCAGTTAAATGCAGTACCAGCATCATGTCCTAGCACAAGCCTCCGCAGGCCGCTGTAAGCAGAGGACACTTTGTGCATTTTGAGATACTCTTAAAAGCATCAAGGATGTTTGAATTGCATAGACTGTGACTATTGATCAATCAGCTTGAGAATAATTAAAATCAATGTCTAGCAATGTGACTGGCTTTCCTAATTACTGTTTTTGTCTTCTTAATGTAGAATATTCCTATTCCAACACTGAAAGAATTTGCAAAAGCTTTGGAAAGCAACACGCATGTGAAGACATTCAGCCTTGCAGCTACTCGGAGCAACGACCCTGTAGCTATTGTAAGTTTAAACACTGCTTGAGAAAAAAAAAAAACAAACGCACAACAATTTTTAAGTAGGTCTATGTCTGCTTTAGGATACTCTCTTCGTTTTCCTTCACAGAATTTCCCTGTGATGATACAAAGTAAAAGTGCCATGTCTTCTGATCTGCCTCTGTGTTCTTCTAAGCTTATTTGTGGTTTAATTCTTTGTAGGTACTAAACTGTGTTTTGCAGATTTCCTGTTATTCCCCAAAACTCTCAAGATGTTATCTCATATTCTCTCTTCTTGACCCTTCAGGCATTTGCAGATATGTTGAAAGTGAACAAAACACTGAAGAGCCTTAATGTAGAATCCAACTTCATCACTGGCACGGGTATTTTGGCACTGATAGATGCACTGAAAGAGAATGAATCCCTGACAGAGATTAAAATTGACAATCAGGTAAAGAGGGAGCATGGAGTGAGTCTACTTGTTTCCTTTCTATACAGATTCCCAGAGGGTTCTCCTAGAGGGCTCTGGCAAAGTCAAGGCTGCCTTTGTGGCTCAGTCATTCTGCAGCTCATGTCCCATGCCCATGCAACCAAACAGTGGAAAACTTCTAAATAAAACTGATCAAAGCCAAATATAAAGCCTAGAGCAAAATTTCTAGGGATGGAATTCTCTTTGTAATTTGCAGCTCAGTACTGAAATATAAGCACTTGTTTATTTCTCATGTGAAAAAAAAAAAATTCTTTTCTTTTGGGGATGTTTCACCACACCACCAACAGAGGCAGCAGCTGGGGACAGCTGTAGAGATGGAGATTGCCAAGATGCTGGAGGAGAACTCCAAGATTCTCAAGTTTGGATACCAGTTCACAAAGCAAGGTCCAAGAACCAGGGTAGCAGCAGCTATCACTAAAAACAACGATCTGGGTAAGATGCTACTACATCTACTCATCATTTGTTTACGTGAGCCAAGCCCTGACCTTCCTAGACACACCTATTTGTCTGTACATAAGATTGAATTTTAACTCTACAACATTCAGTCTGCCATGTGAGGGGTGATGCATAGCTCCACGGACTCTAGAATAGACAACAGTTGTCTTCTTCCACTCCTGGGAAGGAGAGTTACTTCAGCCTTTTCCATGGAGCACCCTGGATTTCCAGCTGCCCTGTCAGCTGTTCTGGCCTGTAAGTAGAGAGCCAAACCCAGTCTGTTTGTTCAGTGAACACACAAGTGCTCACTTCTTTGCCCTGCCCATGACAGACCAAGCTGCCCAACCAAGGGTCCTGCCTGCATGAGTAAGTACAGACAAAGACAATAAATCTTTGCAAGTTTCACCTTAGTGTTTCATGCTCTGCCCTGCATGCTCAATACACAGAATATAGAGGAGGAGATGACTAGGCAGGCATAGTTTACAGTAAGAAGAAGAAAAAAAATTAACTATGTGTTTTTAATCCATTCTACTTAAAAGTGAGGTGTCAACTCCTGATACCTTTGCTGGCTTCATCTTGGGTTTGTCGCTGTGAGAATTAAAATAAAAGTTGAGCTAGAACTTATTTCTTTCATACATACTTTTTTTTTTTTTAAGTTTTTATTTTTAGCAATACCTAAGCATTCCAGTGATATACTATTGGTCCTGAAACCATTAGTGTTCCAGAATGGTATTTGAAACATCACACTGACAAAAAAAGAAAGACTTTCCCCCCCCCCCCACTGTTTAACCAGTTGCCTTTAGACATATATCCTGTACCTAATTTTCATTTTCCTGCTTTTACGTTGTATGGCTTTGTTCAAGATTTAGTAGGACAGAATATCTAACAGAAGTCAATAAAGCAAAATAAATGAAGCAACAAAACACTGAAAGTAGACACAAAAGTGACTGATGTTACACTGTAGGCTTTGGAATAATGCAGCCTGTTGGCCAAGAAAGCACTATGAAATAAACTTCCTGATAGTAAAGTAATGGGATGTTTGTACTAATATGTCGTTGTTATTGACTTTCTGTAGTGAAAAGCATTCATTCATCCAGTTTTACTGCTTTTGTTCTGTACATCAGCAGTTCAATATCAGAAACAGGACATGCCAGTTTGATGTAACACCAAATTTTGTCTCACATGAACAGGAGAACCTCACTAATCTTATCGGCCAAGTCAGACTCAATAAGTTTTTATTAGGGTATGGAGTAGCAAATGCTGCTCAACTAGATCTGCTCTACACCAGCTGTAATGTATCCTAAGTGCCGTAAAAATTCACGTGGCTACTTGTCAAAATAATCCTGCCCATGACAAAGCTCATGACTCTGCTTTGCTAAATGGCAACTTCAACCTACTTAGTTTCTAGTGAGAATCCAGAGTTTAACTTACTATCAGATGGCTGATACAATCAGAGCATGTAAAGTTTAAACGGATAATTTAAGGTCCAATACGATGTTTTCCTTGTTGCCAATACTCACTGATATCAGTACTTAAGAGTACTGCAAATTATTTTCTAAGAGGATGTGATTATTGCTTACCTATAGTATACACTTGTGCAATTAGAAAAGTTACTAATTTTTTAATGCCTAATGCTTCAGTAATCCAGAGTACTGCCATTCGGACTAGAGCAGACCAGTATCAGCTTAGCTGGGACACAGCGGCTTTTAAGAAAACAATAAAACTGTAACAAAAATCTAAATGGAGCCATTGGGAGGAAGCACTGGAAATGGTGATTTCTTCATCATCTAAGACCTTTAGCTCAGAATATGATTTTTATAGAAAATGTATTCATATGAGCACTTAGCAAAATTCTATGGTCTGTAATATAGACAAGTGCGGTTTAGATGCAATTGTTTTGTTTAGAATTAAGACCTGTGAAGTACAGCATTTGTGGACATCATCCTACTGCATATTTCTTAGAAGCACCTTCCTTCCTATTCATTTAACTGGGAAGGGAGCGTGTCAGTGAGAAAAGTCCTTAGGCTCTTGGGAAAGCAATAATGACTGGTCTTCTCTTGTTTTATTGCTCTAGTTCGTAAAAAGCGGGTGGAAGGAGAGCGGCAGTAGCCACGCCACAGAGGATGCAAGGCAAGATTGGATGCCACCACCAATTGCAATCTCAGAGTGTTCTCTGGTCAGAATGGAAGGCACTGGAAAACTATTACAATGAGAGTCGCTCATTTCTGTTAATGTCTCCTTTTAACCTTGAAAACACAGCCTCTTAATTTTCAACTTTCACAGTTCATTTTTATGAGAAAGATTCATAGTTGGTTTGATTTTAATGAAAAAATGTTTTGCAGTATCTGAATATATCTGCCAATATGCAGAATCTTAACTGTGTTACTGAGCATAAGCATAACATATAGTGACTCTGACCCTTATTTTAAACACTTTTTGATATGTTAAAATATCATCTTATGGATAAGGGATTTCTCTGCTGAAAACAGAAATTTTAGGGCCAAGTTCTGCAATGCCTTATGTTTGTGAATAATCCTTCCTTATGTGTGTATAGTCCTGCGAACTGAATCCTGCAATGGGATGCTCCTAGGAGTAGAACTAGTAATGCCAGTACAAGTTTGCAGGGTCACACCCTTGAGCCTCTCTCCTGCAGTAGGATCGGGGCAGCTGGAACCACATTGGAACAGCACCCTTCTACTTTCCTAGGTCTCCACCCATCCAGGTCCAAGTGCAGGATCACACCTAGACGTATAAACATTATCAAAGCCTACTTGTTTACATAAGCTTAGGTTAAGTGGATCGTTTCTCAATGTTACACTGATACTTGTTATCCTTACTCCATGTTGTAAAGTAATATTAGTGCTGCCAATCCTGTAGACTTTGAATGTTTCGTTTTTTTTCCTACGCCAACAGGTTTTTATTTGCTACTAGAATGCACAGTTTACAGCTATTAATCTAAACAAGTATTTAAACAAGTATTCTGAGCAATATTTGTTTTGCTTTGAGCCATGTGTTTGACTTTTTTTAGTTCTGGTATTTATGTACATTTGTTAGTATTATAGAACTGTTCTCAGGACCTTTTAGATGAAGATTTTTAATTAAATAGTTAAACCAGGAGAGCAGCTGTGCTACCAGGAAAACACATTAAAAGGGTAGTTGTGACAGCTACATAACATACATTTAAAGGCTGCAGTTGAGGTTTGTCCCTGTGTCACAAGGCACTTAGATATTCATGTCGGTGCTTGGCTGAATAAGGACAGATTTAAGCATATGCACGAGTGCTTTGCTAAATCAGGGCCTTAACTCAGATGCTGGACATGGTCTTAACCTGGTAGAAAACACTCGTGAAGCAGCAGCTGACCCCAATACTCAACAGCATCAAAGTTATTGTAAGAATTCAGTCTGATGTTTCATTTTGAGTATTTTACAATCTAAAACTATTCTCTACCACTGTTTTATCACTGCCAACAGTTGTCTCTGACTAACAGCCAGAGGTTCGTTTTGGTCACACGTACGCACGTCGTGAGAGCTAGGGGAGACTGGGGTTAGGGGTGTCGCACGTACCAGTGCTTTCTGAAGGCTGCAGAAGCACAGCTGGGGCGAGCGCTGCCGCCCAGGGACACCAGCCTCTCCTTGGAGAGCTCCCTCAGGACAGCGGAGCTGAAGCACCACGTCCTTTGCCCAGGTGACAGGACAACACCGGTGGTCACAGTCACCGCAGTGCACTCCTGACCCTGGGAGAGAGCTGTGAGCCACTGTGCAGCCGGGCATTTTGGGGATTAGAAAATGAGGAGCCCCTGGAGCAGTTGGTACATGTTTGACCTTCTTCCCTGAGCCATGTTTTCATGAGCAGAGCTGGAGCCCAAGCTCACAGGATGAACCCTCCCTCCATGCCTTTTATAATGGAAACGAGTAGGTCCAAGTCACACTCTTCCTGTTGGATACTGGTCTTCATACTGGGGTCCAAACTGAATAACGTACACTTAAATCCCACTTAAAATAGTTTGCTGAAGTGGTCTGCTGAGCTGGGATCTAAAGTGCAGTATCCACAGTTTACTTCCCTGGAGAGCTCCCAGTCTTTACAATTTCTAACTCCCCTTCCTCAGAAAAGGCTGAAACCTTTGCTTTGCAAATAAAAACCATCACACAGAGGGGACTCTTGCTGAGGTTTTCCCTGGATCCATGCAGGATTTGCTGTGAAAAACTTTGATATTCCATTTTAAGAAAATTGATAAGTTCTGTAACACAGTCATAACTCTGCACAGGCTTGAAAAACGTGCGAATTACCAGGGGAATACTGGGCTTTGCAGCATCAAGTCTCATGGGTAGGAAGAATCCTCATCCCCAGAACCAAAAAGTTGTTTGCTGACAAACTTCTGTTACTAGAATCATACTGCCCCTATTTTCTTCTTTTCCTTTGAACCAAGCAAGGGAATCCCAACTATCAATTATTTAAATTTATTTTGAAGGGTTTTTTTTATTGGTTACTTTTTTTCTTTCAGAGTGGTACATATACGTGTTTAAGGGAAACAAGTGCAATCCACTTCTAGTCTTAATTGCCATTTAAAGTGTTGGTATTTGCATGCAGCAGTTTTATGAGGATGGATTGTTCTGGCTGCTTCATGATGTCTGCAGTATGTCATCCTGTATAGCTTTGCTCAGAGCCACACAAGTGGTTATATAGTCAGGTGGCTCCATTCATATCAGCCATAGTTTGCATCATGGACCAAGGTACCTGGCTGGGGAAGGCCCTATGGCCTCTCCATCCTTTCCTCTGCCATGCTTTTTGCATAGGCATGTTTCCTCTGAAGGAAGAACTCCTCAGGCACTTGAGAGTATCATCTCAAACACCAGCTCCTCCATGCACTAGCAGATAGTGCCCGGCGCTGTGCATCCCATGGTAGGGACCATGGGACGTCTGGCTCCTTCCAGCACACGTGAAGATTGCTCCTAATTCCTGGCCATCTTCTCCAGGCAGCTGCTGCCAGCCCCTGCCAGGGGGCTTGGTGACCAGGGACATCCCTGTCTTGCCTCTTCTGTGTGCTCCACACAAGGGCTTGGTTGTCACCTTGCCTTGAGCATCACAAATCAAACACTGCAACAATATAAAGATCTGTCCAGTACAACAGCATATGATAGTGATAATTGAAGCCAGATTTTCATATTAATGTAGGATTATTTAGCTGGTTAAAAATCACTGCAACTAACATGAAGGTGTTCAGGATGTGACTCATTATTTTAAATTCTACTTTCAAGCAACATCTGACATACTCAATGCTGAATGGGGAACAGGGACAGAAGAGCCCTTTTTTTAAGCAAACATTCAGGAGTAACTATTTTTGCACATTGCTTCTCATGTTGACAGCTTCAGTTTGGTGTTTTTTATACAGTTTTTTCATGGAAAAGCTCAACTTTGTGCGTGTCCTAACATATATGTGAATTGTAGCGTGCACTAAGGACCGTATGTGTACATGTATAACTCTAGATGATGTTATTTCTCGAACAAAAGTAATTGCATGTGCACAGTGTGGTGCATGTTACTCAAGAGGAAGGGAATTACCACGCTATGTAACAGTGACTTCCCAGCATTGTGGTTTTTCTAAATAAATCTTCACAAGGGATTTGGCTTTTGCAGTTTCTCATGGTTTTGTGCCTTGGATCGAGCCTCCCTTGATGCTCTGACATCAGATTAAGCAGCTTTCTCCACTGTGGCTCTTGCAGCTTTCACTTGTCTGGATTATCTGCCAGGTTTCACCTTCTCTTCCCCCCACATTATCTGTACTGGGCTGGAGCTTTGCAAATGATGGTTGGGTGCTCAGAACCAAGACTGGGAGCAGAGAAACCTGGATTGTCCTCTCAGGTTTAACAGACCTCCCAGATTTAAAGCAAGTTCATCATACCTGTCCATGCGTCGCCTCATACACTCTAACATCAACTTAATACTTTCCTGCCTCTCTACTCACTGAACGCTTGTGAAACTGAGCTTTTCAGAAGACGACACACCAAGAGATACGATTTTCTTTATAGGAAATAAATGAAAAACTAAACCCTCCCATTTTCAAAATGCATCACTCAGATGCTTTGGATCAGATTTCTGTGATACATCTAGACATCTAAAGCTGCACACGAAAACCCATGGTATTTTCATGAGTCACTAGGTACCAGCTCTCACCAGCTGCAATGTCAGTTTAGATACATAAGTTCCTGTCCTTAGTCAGCTACATACTGTAAGAATTGGGCCTAGGTAACCAACCCCCTTTTGGGAACTTACATGCTTTTGAAAATTATGCCTCATGTCTGAAGATGATTGTATTACTAGCATAGCATTCTTCTATTTTAATATATGCCATGGCTCTAAAAATAAGTACATAGTGAAAAGTGAAGATAACAGAAAAGCAGGACCCTTATTCTACAATGGTTATTATTTTCTTTAGCTCTGTTTTCAATTTTTACAGCTCTGAAATTATGTGACAAAGCAATAATAGATCTCAGCAGTCTACTGGGTTTTTTTTGGAAAAAAAGTGCAATTTGTGAAAAGCTGCTGCCATTTGAGCTGCAAAGACTAGATTTCATGTTTTCTTCATCATTAACTCAGGAAAGAGAGAGATTTCACTACTTTGTGAAATTTAGAATCCAATTATATTGCATGCAGTTTTATGGATAAAATCACTATTGTCTGATCAGGATCTTGCATCCAAAGCATAGCAGAAGCACTGTATCAAATTACCCCTCCTCAGCTAGCTTCTACGCAGGAAGCCTGCAAAATGAGCTTTTCATGAGCACAGAGACACTATTTCCTGCCCTCTCTTCTCTGCGCAGTGTCTCAGCAATTTTCCATATGGCGCCTCATTTGAATTTGACACCAAGAACATCACTGATTTCTTCCACAGTATAGACAGCTCTAAGCTTCAAAGGAATCAAGCGCCTTGTAGAATGCCTGAAGGCATAGACTGAGTTAATGAAATGGTTACACTGACCCTTAGAACCTATGCTGCACATTAAAACACCCTACAACATACACATAACTACACATGCATAAGGACAGTTAGAAAAGAAACCTTAGAACATCTCCCCACAAACAACGTGCTCTCTGCAATCCCAGGGAAGTT